CCGAGGTGCTGCCCCGGGGTGCTCAGCTTGCGATACCGGGCTCCGGGGGCTGCTTCCCAAAACGTTAGGCAGCCCGGCGGTAAGAGCAACCCCTTAAAAGAGGGGGAGACCCCGCTTTAATTCCCTCGGTGGCGACAGAGCTCCTGCGGGTCCTTTCGGGGTGCCCACCGGCCTGCACCCTGCTTCACGGTGTGCACCAGAGGAGAACAGCATGGCTGTGCTATGTGGGGTGCTGGCAGGGCACCGTCCCAAACTGGACATCTCCCTGCTGTCCTGGCCGCAGCGTGCGCTGGGCCATCCCTCGCTGCAGGGCACCAGCCAAGGTGCCAAAGCCTCAGCGGGACGAAACAGGGACAGTGACCCTCAGAAGGGGCAGCAGGCAGAGCCAGGCACCCTAAAAACAGCACAGCCCGACACCACCCAAAACTTTCCAAGCATTAGGAGACAATCTTCAAGTTTGGCCATCACCCTCCCCAAACTCTCCGCAGCTTGGCTCACCATCTCCACTGGAGCAGGGCAGCAGTGGAAGTCCCAGTAGAAGGGCAGCCCTGAGACCTCGCTCTTCACGTGCAGGCTGAGGCCGCTGGCAGCATGGGGGCAGGAGAAGGAGGTGGCAGCGTCTGGCTGCCCTGCCAGCAAGGGGTGCATCAGGTCACGCAAGCGGTGCAGGAAGGAGGACACATGGACCATCAGCCGCTTGTTCAGCTCCTGGGGAAAGGCAAGGTTAAGGGTACAGCAAAAGCCCGGGGAGCTTGGCACTGAGAAAAAAGCAGCAGAAGCTCCAGCACGGAAGGAGCCAAACTACTTCTGTGTGTCCCAGCACTGCAGAAAGCCACCCCTGGGCCTTGGCTTCCAGCCTTGCAACAGGACATTCCCCATCAGTTCTCCCAGGCCAGCCCAGGAGGGTCCGGGTGTTGGGCAGGGTGCAATGGTCTTCACTGGTGCATCTGCCCCACATGCCACCACGAGTGTCACAGGCTGGCCAAGAGCTGTCACAGCTCAGCACACCTGCCAGAGCTGAAGGGGGTGGCTGCTGCCACATGCCACACTGTGACAGAGGGACATGGCAGATAGAGGTGGCACCTGGGGGCCTGGGCACATGGGCTAGAGCGAGGGGATGAGGCATGGCCCCATGTGTTTTAGGGGCCATGCTGATAGGACACCTCATGGGAGCCTGTGCCCGGCTATGAACATGAACAGGAGTCTCTCCATCACTGGTGGGCAGGCAGCCTTGTTTCAAGCTCCTCCTTAGTACACTGGTCCTGGGGAAACCAGCTGCCCATCCCGCCCACAAGTGAAATGAGTGTGCTGGCCTCAGCATGCAGCCCCAGTGAGCACCTGGCTGCCTTGGGCACGCTAAATAGCCTGGCCCACTCTCCCAGGAGGAGGGTACTCAGCCAACCAGGGGGACAGTGCTTAGGCAGAGCCGCCCAGGGACTTCCCATCCCGGGCATTTGGACCCGAGCCCTGTCAGATCCAACAGCCATTGTGTCACCAAGAAGTTTATGCTGGGATGTCAGCTGCTGCGAGGAGAAAAAGAGGTCCCTGGACTTTCCAGACACTCACCTTGGACCTTTGTCCCACGGCCTCGGCATCTGCACTCTCGTACCAGACGCTGCTGAGGTCGGAGATCAGCAGGATGTAGCCAGTATCCCTGAAGCACGCTTTGGCAAGAAAAGTGGACTCACCAAAGCAAACAGAAGCCCAGGGCTGTGTCAGGAGGCTGCTCTCCAGCTCCTCAGAACCCTCCATCTGCAAGAGAGCAATCAAGTCTCTGCTCACCCCCCACCCAGGGAGACCCCGGTCCTGGGGGTGGCCTCACAGGGACCCTCAGTCCCTGCTGGCCCCTCCATGATGCCAGGCCCACCTCATAGCCCAGAGGGGAGGATGCCCAGCCGGCTCTGGTCACACACATTCCTGCACACACATGCAGCTCTGCTGGGGTGAGCATTTTGGGGAGCTCTGTGCAGGGCAGTTGCTACCCCAGCTCACAATAAGCACCCGAACTGCACCAGCAGGCACACGGCAATGTAACTGCTGCCTCCCCGGCGTTATCCAGTGCTTGCTGCCACTAATACGGCGACACCTCTACATCCAAATTAACTTTTAAGCCACCCCACTTGCACCAGGACGGGCAGCAGGACGCTGCAGCCCTCCTGCTCGTCCATGATGCCAGGCCCACCTCATAGCCCAGAGGTGAGGATGCCCAGCTGGCTCTGGTCACACACATTCCTGCACATGCATGCAGCTCTGCTGGGGTGAGCATTTTGGGGAGCTCTGTGCAGGGCAGTTGCTACCCCAGCTCACAATAAGCACCCGAACTGCACCAGCAGGCACACGGCAATGTAACTGCCCAGTGTCCCCGGGGGGCCTGCAGGACCAGGGCTCTGCGGAGACACGGAGTTACCCGAGGGCAAGAGGAGCAGGCGGGCCAAAGGCTGTCGGGGCGAGGGGCTTTGCAGAGGCGAGCGATGCTAGGCCGGAGGCGAGAGCCAGACTACGGCTCCCAGCATGCTGCTCTCTTCCGCAGCGTGCGAGGGGCCGGGGCAGGCCGGGATGTGTAGCACCACGCGCCACGGGTCACCCGCACAGGGAAAGGCCACGGCCGTGGCTTCCTCAGGGCCCAGGGAGGGACGGCGACTGCTCCCTTCCCCTGCTGATGAGGTCAGGGACCCAAGCCGGCACCCTCTTGAGCATCCCCGGTTGTCCCAGGAGGTGCCACGGCCAAGATGCTGTGCAAAGCTATGGGGACCGAAACGCCTTAAGACTTTTTTTGGTGCTTGCTCCTGTTATGAAATGTCCTGGAACAAGTGCCTGTGTGTGGACAGCCCTCAGGCTGCAGGCACGGTACAGCCCAGAGAGGCGGCAGCAGCCAGGGGCTCCTGTCCCTTGGCCCCAGGCTTACTCCTCAGCCCCAGCAGCTGCAGGGTGCCCACACAGGCATGGCACAGGGCATGCACCTGCACCGCTGCCCTCCCAGGCTTGTGCTGGGCCTTGGCTGCTGCACCCCAGCAAGCACACACAGCTGGGCTTGCAGGTGCCTGTGTCCACCATGCCCAGGGACTGGGCTTGCAGGTGCCCGTGTCCCCCATGCCCGGGGACTGGGCTTGGAAGACACCACGGAGCAGGGCTATGCCAGACTGGCAGGGGCGGTGGACACCGCTCACCCACTGGGCTTGCAGGTGCCTGTGTCCACCATGCCCAGGGACTGGGCTTGCAGGTGCCCGTGTCCCCCATGCCCGGGGACTGGGCTTGGAAGACACCACGGAGCAGGGCTATGCCAGACTGGCAGGGGGGGGGGGGCGCCCCCCCCCCCCCACACCCCCCCC